GACAGTCAAAGGTAGGGATCAATATTGAACTAGACTGGTTAATGTTGGTTACTGTGTTTGAGCAACGCCCCCAGAATAATGGCATCATTTCAAAAATTAGCGATCCTGTGACGCCCGTCTTGATTATACCATATTTCAGATGAGAAAAACACCGTGCAAAGGCCGTCAAAAGCCAAAACTGACAAAATTCAAATATATCATAGAGAAAGGGACACTTTCAAAGACTCTCCATCACGGGTACCGCCCTAGTGCAAGCAATATCCCTTTCATTTTTCGGTTTTGGGAATTTTCAACCACTCTGAGATTAACTGATATTTTTGTTATACGCGCGGAAAAATTGGGTTCCAAATAGAACCTCTCGCCACTCAAAATGAAATTTCCAGTAGGAATTGACCATTTCCGAGTTACCTTGCGCCTCCGTGTCAAACCGAGTCTTCGTGCGAAACCATTCACATGAAAATGTGTTTCGCCGACAGGTTCGTTGTTATGCCAATCAGTAAAAGTCATTTTCATAAGAAAGGTTTTGCACGAAAACTCGTTTTGAAACAGAGGCACAAGGTAATAGACGTATTCGGCTGACGTGTTAACATCCTTGTTGCTACCCAATTCAGACCACGTGATGATTCATTTGGGAGGTCACAATTGTGCAATTTGCGTGTCGTAACTGATTGCATGGGTGTATGTACAAACAGAACAATTGTAACCTCCCAAATGAATCATCACATGATCTGAACTGGGTGGCAACAAGGATATAAACACGTTAGCCAAATCCGCCTATTCCAAATTAAATGGCCTATTGGGAATTGCTATTTGGAATGTTTGTTTATGGACCAATTTACGTGTTTTGTCAACGTTTCAAACGTAAAACGTTGCATAAACGAGTAAGAGTCAGGAATGATTTTATCTTTTGTTTGCTTTTTTTTTAATCCACAAATCCAAGGTGGTGCGATGGCTTTGACATCTCATGGAATGTTTGTCGTGATGGCTTTCTTCATGGTGTCATCTCTCATTTTGTAAAATAAAAGAGGAGAAACCGCAAGAGGAGAAACACCGAACGAAGAACGAAGATGATGTGTTATATTGCTCCACCCTCTCAAGGAACGGAGAGTTTACTTATCTTGAGTGGCACGCATGTTCATTGCTATATTTGTTACATATATGGTAAAGTTAGGAAAGGATAGTTAAGGATATAAATGAATAGAAGTAAGTAGTGAATTACAGATAGTCTGTGTATAACTGGTATTATCACACATTTGCCGTGTAAATACAGAATACAACATATCAAGGCCATAGCTATTGTAGTAAGAGGCAAACCGAGGCACTTGGCTCAGTCATTTTTTTCGTTTTTGTTGCTTATATTCATAATAAACACCCTAAATACCTAAGAACTGAATTTATGGATATTGCCTCAGTGGGAATTGTTTTTTTTTTTCCCTTTGGCTGGCTACGGCACTGCATATGTAAGCAATGAGGTTTGAAAGAGAAAAAATAAAATAGCCAACTATGACTGAAAATGACCCAAAGGTACGTCCGGGATATAAACGAGATGTTACCTAGATATGACTTCGACATCTCCGGCGTTTTTAAGAACTTGTAAACCGCATATTTGAAAGTCATTTTCACCCGGGAGCGGGGGGAGGGTTCTCCCAAAAAAATTTAGTGGGGGTGTGTGGTCCGCTTCCCAAATCCCTTACTCTATTTATGACCAAAATCTGCGATTTTCCCCTACCCTATTTATGACCTGACCAAAACTTCGATACCCTATTTTTGACCGTTGCGGCTGACACAATATATTATTGTTGTCCTAAACATAATTTTTGAAGGGTTTTTGTCTATGGTCTTATAGACAATAATGAAAAAGTAGCGTCCTCTAAACAACATACCCAATTGAAGACTAGAGTAGAAAAACCATACCCTATTTATGACCGCAATGGCCAAAATCGATACCCTAGACTAAATGGGGCAAAAGGGTTCGCCGCCATTCTGTGCTAGTTGTCAATTTTAATGAAAAATGAAGTGGGCCAAAGTCGAACTACAAGCGATACTTCCCGGTGCCCCTGGCCTTGATCACGTCCACACTGTACCCCCAATCTTGACCCCCAAAGTCTACGTGACAGTGTTTGTGAACTGTGACTTGACTTTAAAAACTACCGCTATTATTATATGGGGCAATTTCGTTTCAGCGAATGAACAGGAAGTCTGGACGTGACAGCGTGACGTCATTGTGCGTGTCAGCATGCACATTCTATGACCAATATGTGTCAATAATAAAAGCATGAAAGGGATATTATATAAAGCGGTAGGCTTTTGTATATTATGCTTTTATTTCCCCACTAAAATGCCTCACCTTAATGCTCCGTTGTTCCCTCTAAAATGCTCCCCCCCCCACCCCCCCCCCCCAAAAAAAGTCTCTAAAATGCTTGGTTAATGGTTAATGCTCATACATAGGGTTTTTAAATTTTAATAATTTTAACATTTAAACACAATTAACAGCTCAGGGTGCTTAAAAAAATGCATACACATTATAACTCAACGTGTTTAATAATTAATACACCAAAGGGTAATTTTGTAAATGACTACTGTTAACCTCTCCTCAGTCTCCACTCGGCCGTATTAGGGTGGCATTTGACATTTTTTCAATTTTAAGTTAAGTCTTCATTTTCTCGTAGAAAATAGTTTTTATTTCTATTTTCTATAAGTGGAAAAATTAATTTTCCGGGAAAGTGCCGTTAAAATGCTCGAATAATACTTAATGCTCTTGCCTCACTAAAATGCTCGATAAAATGCCATCATAATGTGCAAAAGCCTAAATCTTGACCCCCAAAATCTACGTGACAGTGTTTGTGAATTGTGACTTGACATTTAACTATCGCTATTATTATGTGGGGCAATTTCGTTTCAGCGAATGAACAGGAAGTCTGGACGTGACAGCGTGACGTCATCGTGCATGTCAGCAAGCACATTCTATGACCAATATGTGTCAATAATAAAAGCATAAAAAGGATATTTCATCGACTCAATTAAATTTCAAACCCTCCTCGCATCGCGATTCAATCATGGCTACAGTCTCCTTCTGGTTTCTGTTCTTGTTGCTGCCTTCACTGATAACCAAGAGCTTTTCTTCAGGTTAGATCGGTTTTACCATTGATAACGTATTGAGTCAGGCCTAGTCTAGACCTGGCGTTACTGCCGTGCCGCACTTAAACGAATGTCGCCCGGCAGTGGCATGACAAAACTACGGCAGTGGTTTCAAACGTCGAATTTGATTCAGTAGCGCCGAAGATCGGAAGAAGTTTGTTTTGCTGAAGACCATTTTAAATGCTAGAAAGCAACGGCAGCTAATGCAGCAGGCAAAAACTTCAGTTCGGCACCGCAGGGGTAGCCAAGTCACGCTTCGACCGTGCGACATGACAAGGCCTGCCGTGCTAAGTAGTAGGGCCGAACTTTATAATTCAGCCTGCCGAACTGAGTGGTTTCAAACGTCGTGCTAATTCCGTGCTCAAGTCGAATTTAATTCTTGAATTTAGTTCGGCACGACAGTAGCACGACCTCTGGAACAGACCTCAAACGTATAAATGTTGTAGATATAATTCAATGAGAAGAGATTCCTTTTCGACAAAGTGAATATTTTTGTGAAACCTGCTCTGTTGACGACTCCACGTAGAGAGAATCCAGGGGCCCGAATAAATGAAGGAAAGGGTATGCGGATTCATATTTAACCTGCGAACAGGCTCCCGGCGAGGGCGGAAAAAACACTTCAGCGAGCGCGAATCAGTAGAACTCGGAGAGCGAAGCGATCGGGGCGGGATATTATAACTTGACTTCGTTACGAGACAATTCCATGTCAGGCCCAGATGTCATGCGAAACACGTTACTCCATCCAGTTCTCTTAACTGAATCAGCCCTTTGCAGAGAACATTTATACATTCATCATTTACTTCGCACAAGATCTTGATGTATCTCCCTTCGTATTTAAACTAGTGTCATAAAAATACCGTATCATAATACATGGAGACTCTGTCAAGTTGCGTGACATTGTTTACCATTGAAACATATTCAAAATAATCATCAACAACAGTCCATCATCTTGCATCTGACATCTTGAGGAAGATTAGCAAACCCATTCAAGTCACAAAACCCGTCAAGACAGAAAATGTGTTATTTCTGTTTCATTTTATACAGTCGAACTTCCCGTAAGCGACCACTCAAAATGTCAAGCCTTGGTGGTCGCTTAGACCATATTGGGTCAAAATTTTGCCTCATTAGCATAAGGTAATTGCAGAGACTTACCCCATGTTTTAAATGTTTTATTCAAATGAAAAGTCTATTTCGAGAAAAAATTCGGTACTTCCCATTGAGAAATTTCCGTCTCTTGTACTACCCAGGAATGCGATTGTTTCAAGTTCCGTTTAATCAAACATTCAATAGCGTACAGCGCAGTAAGACACGAGGATGAAACTCGATTCTAGTCTAGTCGAACATTGATAGTAATCACGTGCATATTGTAACATCCTCCCTTTTGACAAAAAAAAAAAAATGACAAACAAAAAAATATGACAAAAAAGTCAATGTCAGTTCAGTTCGGAATCAATGGGTCCATAAGACAAATCTAGCAGCTGGTGAGTTCGACACAAAGCGATCAATACACGATAAACACTAATCACTATGATAACGGCAACGAAAGATTTAAAGTCACGAGTCTAGTCACAAACAAAGTCCTTGAGGTATGCTGGGCTCTTCCTGACTCGCTCTGATCTCCGACACTGTTCCGGAACGGTCACCACTTCAGGGCGTGACTCATGAGGGGCACTGCTCTGATCAGGGGTAGACGCTGTAGTTGTAGTCGCCTTTTCATCTGCAC